TAAATTCTTTCTTTTTTCTCAATTGTTACAATTATATTATAAGGAAAGTTAACAGCATGCTCCTTTGACAAATCAAAAACTAGAGACTGAGAGGTCTCTGAAGTTAAAGGGTTTTATTGAGCCTTGACAGATGCTAGCTAGGAAAAGGACTGAGTCCTGAGACAGAAAATGTCTGCTAAATTGAATACTGAACTGCTCGATAAAATGGAATTTTTAGGAAGAAAAACTATTTTTGTTGAATCATTCTCTGCTAAATTTCACCAGCAGCAAGGCCAGTTAACAGAAACATCTTGTCTGCCGGACTCAAGAAACAGGGCACATTTATGTGGAGTCTCCGAGAAAGAAAGTTCTTTAAATTCACATTGATTTCAGAGAAGGAAGGGGGGCCAACAGGAAGAGAAAAAGTCCTGAGATAGGTGGTTAGTCCACAGCAAAGGCTCTCAGGTTGTTTTGTTGATGGTCAGACACTGGTCACACAATAAGGGGGATGCGGTGGTCCTGGGGACCTTGCAGGTGCTTGTTGAAATGACTTAATCCAAGAACATGGGGTTTCTGGTTAGGTGTGCCCTGTGGCTATTGACTGAAGCCCTTCCCTTGTTTCTCTCCCTCATTCTCTGGCCCTGATGTCACTTAATTTAAGATGTTTCAGCATTTTTACCTTGCAACCTTTTATAGATGCGTAAATTAAATTTCAGAGGTGAAAACGACTGAAATAACAGGGTTTGTATGCACGTGCTCCACACCTTGCTGTTTTAGGGCTGAATTTCCATAGGAGGACCCGAGCCAAGTAGACTGTAATGTCCCAGTCCTGTCCTTGTTCCCTGGACCCACCCAGTCTGTTCTGAGTCCTGCCTAAACCACCGTCTCCCTGAAAAACCTTGATAAGTATGTAGTCTCTGGACTTCAGTCTCCTGAATTCAAGCTTCTGTTAAATTGGCCATTGAAGTAGGGGATGTATGGAGGTCTGCATCTCTAAAGTAGTCAAAGCCCTTTCTCCCAACTTCCTCACCAGGCCCCAGTGGACTGACTACCTGTGCAGTGTTCATCTCACTGAAGGGACTCATGCTTGGTGAGAAAGGAGGGAATTCTGTTCCCTTTGGGAAGATGTTTTCCCTTTGACTATAGCCTTTCATACTCCTTTCCTCTAAGTCTAGCATATAAGTTGGATTACTTAATGAAGAACTAAAGTGCATTAAAAGCATTTTATGGGTAAACCACCAGTGTGGCACAGTAGGGCACACAAACATGAATGAAATGGCCATCCAGCTAATAGAGCAGAAATATCTGTACAGGAAGGATCAGTCATTTATCCAATTAAGGGTAGAGATGGATGTTTTATAGAGGTAAAATGTTTACCCACCAGGAGAAGCATATGTTTCTTCTCCCATGCCAACACCCATTGGTGGACAAGGCCTGCCTGGAGCAATGGTTCTCCAAGTGTGTTTCCTGGAACAGCTGCATCATGATCACCTGAGAACTTGTTAGAAATGCAAATTCTCAGGCCCACCCCAGGTTTTGGTGAATCAGAAACTACTGGGATGGACAATGTGCATTTTCATAAGCTCTCCAGGTTACTCTGACGCTCGCTCAAATTTGATCCAAAGGATTATGTTGGATAAAATTTTGCGGCTGGAGTGGGTTCCACAGAAAATGACACTGTATTGTTAAGTGACAGCCCCAGGCGAAGCAGCAGCAGTGGGAGCACAGATTGTGATCGCTCTGAGAGTTATAGCCTCTGCCTCAGCCAAGAGCGCGCACTCAGCGCTGCCTCCCCTCGAGTGGGCTCTGGGACAGGCCCTGGTCACTGCCTTAAAGCTTACGAAGTCCAAGCAGAAGCTACTAGAGTCACAGTCTAGGAAGCCATGCTACCCTTCAAAGGATAGAATAAGAACTGGCTGTGAGGGGGATATTTTCTTAATAGATAATGATTAGCCTTCCCAAGAAAGAAAACAGGTACGATCTTGCCCTTTGTTAAATTGCCATTTGTTTTAACTCTGATGAAACTATTCAGATAGAGATGACACTAGCTGGGATTAAGGTACAGACCCTGGTCTCTCCTTTGGCCTGAAAACAGCAAGGTGTGGAACAAGCACACACAACCCTGTTATTCCCGTCATTCTCTGATGTATGCAATGTCTTCAGAATCCTCTACGTCTGCTGACCATCAGCTAGGAATCTGCTCTGTGTATAGCCATATGATTTATCAAGAGTGGTGCAGCCAGATAACTCACTCAATAAGGGAGAAAGATGGACAAAAGATGGGAAAACTGGGAAGAGGGCAGCTGGCCAGTAGAAGTCCACAGCCTGAGCCCAGCCCCAAAGTTATAAACTATTGGAGACGTTTCAAAATGTTAAAATGGGACATGTTTTTTAAAGGATTAGAATACCATCTTCCTAGTGGAGTCTAACATACTCTCCACGGAACACACTTCTAATCTCCAGATAAGTTGCCACAAAACAAGCTTACGAATGATCATTATTTGATGGCAGCATCCACTGGACACTGTGAAGGTTCAGGGCAAGAGTCAGGATATTTGGGGGAGTTAACTTTATGATGATTTGTGGCTGTGCCCCTTAGATGTCATTTCCATGAAATGTCATCAGCCAAATCATTAAAAGTAACACAAGAGATGTATCTATTAAAATGCATACATTTATAATGATGATATAACACAGGAAGTTTCCCAATTGATAAATAAGAAATTGTGATTTTGATAGAAAACACTATTTACCAACAAGTAAAATATGAGATTTTTTCAGTACCTTGAGTTCCTACAGAGAGAGAGAGAGAGAGAGAGTCATTTTGCTTGAAAAAAAAAATGTGGGCATATTTTATACAGCCATGAAGGATGGAAGTCAGATGAGATCAGATTGATAAAAGAAACCATAGTCCAAACACAAGCAGGAGGAAATCAAAGCAAAGAGGTTTCAGGGGCAGAGGTGGGGTGGGCGGATGGGAGGGAATGCGGCAGGAGAATGAGAGAGGTTCTAAGCTTGGAGGCGGCAGACACGGAAAGCAGATGGTGGCGTGAGCAACTAACCGGGGGGACTGGTTGGCACCATCAATGCAGAGCAGCTGGGGGGCCAGCACTGTCCACTCCCCTTGGTGCCAAGCAAAGACCAGCAAGGACTCTTGACTGCCAGCAAGAGGAGTGAGTGAGCCAGAGAGGAAGACTTTAAGTGACAGCTGATAACCAGAGCTGGGGGTCACAGGGAGGCACGGGAAGGGGCCGGCCAGAACTCCTGGCTCACCCTGCCCCACAGCATGTCCCCCAACTCCTCACTGTCAGCGAAGGCAGGGCAGAGAAAGCAAAAACAGCATCCACAGAGGGCAGAACAGGGACGCAGTACACACAGACAAAAAGCTGACTGGCAAACACAACCCACTGTTACTCAAGGACTAAAGCACCCAACAAGTGATTCGCAATGGACACTTACTATTCTCAAAAACAAGCTGGCATCATCTCACTCGTGAAACAATAACAGGCTGTTATAATAATGAATAAAACATAAATGACAGGTAAAAAATGAAATGTAAAATAAAATGTCTGAAGGACAAAAAGATCATAAAAATGAGAGACCAGCAACAGACAAGGAGAAAGATGTAACATGTGACAGACAAACAACTGTTAATGCTGACGATCATAAAGAATTACAAACATACAGAAGAAAAAACTCAATGGAAAACTGGGCAACAGATACAGAGAAACATTCACAGAAGAGGAAATATTTATTGAATGACCATGTTCACCATTGCAATAGTCCACAAAGTACAAATTAAAACAAGGGAGTCAACACCTGACCTAAAAGATTGTCAGAAATTGACAAGAGTGATCCAGGTAACTCCTCAACAGTGGGAGGGTGGCGACTGTATCAACGGAGGGCATACTTCATGCCTTTCAGAAGGTAAGCTGCCAGTATCTTATAAATTTAAAAATCTACATCTTCTAGATCCTCACCACTTCTAGCTTCTGTCCTCTCCACTCACAACAGTCAATTTCATTAAATGCCAGAAGCAAGACATAGTTTTAATTAAGCTCCTCATATAAGTGACTACGTTCAATATGTCTAATAGCCTGTAAGGAAGGTCAGTATCACTAGTCTCACTTGACAAATGAAGAATTTACATCACAGAGGGACCAAGGAATAATTCTTAAATAGCAATAAAGGGAGAAGAAAGGATCTGAGTCCAGGCAGTGTGGCTCCACTGTCTGCTCTTAAATACAGGGTATTTTTTTTCTAAGATATATTCTCATCTGTGTACAAAGCCATACACAGGATGTTCAGGACAGTATCATTTATCCTGCTAGAAAGTGGGGGGAAAAACCACTATCAGCAGTGGAGAAATATAAATAATACATCATTCTGTGGAATATTATGTAGTATTCAAAAGAAAGGAGATGTATTTATATAGGGTCAATCTTGAAAATGTACTGTGAAGTGACAAAAGTTTATTGCACAATAATATGGATAGAACAGTGTCATGTTAATTTAAAAATATTCATGTGTGTATGTATATGTACAGAATCACATACAGATAACAGATGTTATCCTGAGGGGGGGAGCCCAATGTGATTTCAGAGCAAGAAGTGGGGGGTATTCAAAGGGCAGTCCCATCTGGGTGCATGTTTAATGACTTTTCACTAATGATGTATTCATATCTTTTCTCATGGAGAATTAAAGGAGAATCAAGGGACTGTTTCCTTGAATAGTTGCTATATGCCAGACAGAAAGCTAACATAGTGGTTGTATTTCATCTAAAACAACTTTATGTGTTGTTTTATGCTCTTTATTGTGATTAATTTAATAACAATAAAGGAAAGCAAGATGCAGTGTACTTAAATAGTTTGTTGCAAATACCTTGATACCTGGAGAGATTTAGATAGGCCCGTCTAGTTGCAAACTATGCTTAGATGAGAAAGGCCGCCTAACGCTGTTGATACAAGGTAGAGAGAAAGAGGTTTGTGGGCTCCAAACAGCACAGCAGAACCAGGCCTTACCGCAGCGATCTCGGACGACAAGGTTCCGGCCTTCCTTCAGGTGTATGGTGAGGAGGTAGGCGAAAGGGCTGAGCAGATTACTCAGACCGACACCAGCTTCCCCAGGAGTCTGCACAGACGGAGAGGTAAGATAAGTCAGCTGTCTTGGGATCAAGGGAGAGAATTTCAGAGACGCTTCTTAATTTAAGGAAGAAAAACAGGTCCCTACAATGGCAAATCCTCAGGTGTCATCCCCAGTCCCGCCCACAATGACGACTTGATTACCCCGCTCTATTTACTGATACTTTATATTTCTCCCCAGTAGGATTTTATCAGAATTCATGATAATATCTTTGCAATGATTTTGCTCTCCCAGAAAAAATTAGACAAATGGTGTGACAATATCTGAAAGAGTCTTAAACTCATTCATTTCCTGCAGGGTTCTTGGTAACTCATGGTGGGGCCCCAAGAGGGAAAATAGCATGCAGACATGCAGCTGTGGGGCCAGTTCACACAAACATGTGGCCACACTTCCAAACTCAGATGTAGAATATCTCCCTCTCCTTCTTCCCCCTTCTCACCAATCCCCGTCACCTCTGGTACATGTCCTCCATGTGCAATAAAAACATTTCGGTTCACAACCACTCAGCAGATAGCCTACGGAGCCCTGTGTGCACCCACCAGCAGACAGCCGCCCTTGCCATGTGCCCTTACTTGCCACACATTGTCCAGTGTTCTCCTGCCTTTTAGGTATTTCCTTCCATTCCCTGGCCCCACTATGGTGTTTCTTGCACTTCGTGTCACATTCTCAACTCTCCCTACTCAGGTGACTTCTTTCCCCTCAATGCATCAACTCCTGTGAGCCAGAATGTCACATTCAAGTCTAGTTTTGAATATTTATTAAAGGAATCCAATTAAAATCTTGAACTCAAGTTTTGCACTCATTCAAATATTTGCCTTTCCAAAGAGAAAGGGCAGATAAAATAACTAATTGTTCACTTATTTGACATTCAATTAATCAATTTTGTGGCTAAGTCACCCTTAACAGCCTTCTTTTGAATGTTTCCCCATCCACGTTTCAAAGCACTTCAGAATAGGATTGTCTCCTTCACCATCTCACTCAATTTCATAGCTGCTCTGTATTTTTAGAAGAATCTATCCTACTCTGACAAAATCAATAGGTACTGAATTAATCTTTTCCAGCTATCATCTGCAAGTCCCGTCTTGGTAGGTAGATACAGTTCAGCATTCTTTAAAAATAAAAGAGGCCAAGTAATACAGATCCAGACATTTGATAAGGCACATTTACAGTATTTACTCTAAGGTACGTTTGTTTATAAGGAATGCCACTCACAGGCTGTTCTTCAAAATGTTGGGATGTCGGAGAAGCATTCAGATCGCCACTTCCACATACCTTCTGCAAAGAAACAGAAAAAAAAGCCTGTTTTGAGAAAGCAAAAAACTACCAGCCTCCAAGGACTTCCTTCCCCAGGGAGTCTGCTATTTGCACACTCAATTTCAGGTGCGTCAGCTGCCTGCCTGTGTGTGTGCCAAGTCTTGGCAATAAAAGGTTGATTCAGTGGAGCCCATCTGGCTGTGGCCTCTGCCATCTTAGTCACCAATCAGAGTGTAAATAAGTCTGATTCTTCTGTCCCCTGGGGCCATTCCTGCATCCCTAAGTCATGAGGGCTGGCGTGCAAGCAGCTTTGTCCCCAGTGAATGACACAGCAGTAGAAGGGCCCTCACACCAGACCTCTTCCAGGGGAGGCCTGCCTGGGCCCCAGCCACCAAAGAGAAATGGGCAGATCAGAGCCCGAGGTCCAAGATTGTCAGATGGGTAGAAAACATTTCAAAATTTGATCTGAATAACCTTTGTGAGTCTAGCAACTGTACAAACACCAACCAAAGAGAAGGCCATGCAAATTCTGAACAAATGACTGAGAATGGAAGGTGTCAGCATTTCCTAATATAAATATGCCTCAGACACTCAGAAAATGATTCCACAGGGCAATGAAATGTGTGTTATTTGGTAGCTAGGATGGGATACAGTAGGCATCTCTGTTGTGGCAGGTTTTAAATGCACAAATGCAGGGTCCAGAAGAGCTCTGGGACTGTGAAGGTTTTGGGGTTGGATATGAGGGTGGCACGAAAGGCAGAGAGGAAAGGAAATGAGCAAACGATCTCCCAGCATTTTGGAGATTTCCCTTTTTGTCTGGCACGTTACCCAAGGCTGATTACTTGTCTGAAAAACATGGGATTTCTCCTTCTAAGGCTGGGTAACTCTGACCTTATAGGCAAGTTCAGAGATAGACAGAAGGCCTGCAGAGACTGAACCGTTGTTGGTAAAGGTGGGCACCGGAAGCACTGTGGACATAGGTCCTTCCCAGGCACAGCAAACATCATGGAGGGCCAGGCACCTGCCAGAGACGCTGCCCAGATGGCGGGCTGCCTTCCAAGACCCTCTCTCACTCTCTTTCTAGTGGAGCTTCAGGAAGCAGTAGAGCTCAGGTTCCCAGCCAGGACAATTCTTCCATCCCCAGGAGGGATGGTGAAGGGCTGCAAACACGCAAAGGCCCTCGGTACCATCCCGTGAAGGCAGTGGCATCAAGAGAGGCTGTACCTAGGCAGAAATGAGCCCTGACCACAGGCTGGCCTGGAGCCTCGCAAGCCTTCATCTGGAAGAGTAGAGACCTTACAGGCCTTCACTGCTGGGGCTCTCACACCTGCCTCTTTCTCTGCCGGTCCCGGGTCTAATGTCCCCGACTGTGAATAGTGACTCATTCCAGATGACTTCACACAGGATCAAGGGGAATCCCTGGCCCTGGAAGAACCACCACTTCCCAGCTGGAAAAAGAGCCCTGGCTGTCCATGTGGACTTGACCTGGTAACAGACAAGAGAAGAGACAACCGCAGGGCCTTTATGAATCGCCCCTCACCCCCGCCATCTGGTTCTTGGCATCTCCTGTGTTTTGTTATGTGCAGGTGACTTGGACTCTCTGCCATGGCTTTACGTCCACAATTGAAGCCTTACCCAACTCTCTCAGTTCCACTGATTTGTCCTCATGCCTCTCACTGCACACTATTAATTCCTGGAAGCTGAACAATTCCTCTTCTCCAACTTACAACACCAAAAAAAGCTGTACCACGCCTTCACACGCAAAGCCAACAAGTGAATGTCCATTTGTGTTTAAAGTGTGTGTTTATTAGCTGAGGCTCATGGAGGTTCTGTATCTTCCCCTGTCAAGTGGATGGGTGCTTTAAATGTGTCATGCCTTAGACCAGCACACCGCACGCATTCTCCCAAGTCAGCCTCCCTGTACCTCATGGCGACATTAATTGAGTGATGAAACACGTCCACGTAACCACCATCATTTACATGCCCTCAAAAATGAACACAGAGCTTTTATTCAAATATGCAATACGTCTTCCACTTACAACCACAGAGCAATTAAATGTGAAGAATGACATTAATTCAATATTATGGCTGGTTTTACTCACAGAAAAGTCACACAACTTAAAGTTATGGTTCCCACAGACACGGTAACTGTCACACACCATATATACACACCAAGGAAGGAATATGGTCACTATAAAGAAGAGCAGAAATGCTACACAGGCACAGGAGGACCAAGTTACAGTTGCTGGGGGGACACATCACTTTGAATACTCCCCTACACTCTGCATGCAGCCTAAAGCTTTAGGCATTGAGTAGAAACTGCATTATTTTCACTTTCTTCATGAACCTAGTGACTACATCAATGATTTTTTTAATTAAAAAAATTGACACTGGCATCTTTCACTCAGCACAGTGCCTTTCAATGCATCCATGTGGTTGCCTGTATACATAGTCCATTCCTTGTCTGTATAAATAGTCCATTCCTTTTTATTGCTGAATAGTATTCCAGTGTATGTTGTGTACCACTGCTTGTTTATCCATGGAACATTGGTTTTAACAATTTCAAACAAATTGTCTCCAGGGATTTAGGAAAAGGCAAATAACTTTGAATATCATCAATGGTAAAAAGTCTGAACATAACAAAACTGTCTGACTACATACAAACAGTCAAAAATACAGCATTAACATCTTGGCATGAAAATTAGTGTGAGGTGAGTCATCTCACACAACCCTCATTGCTGCCTTTCAGAGAAGTAGTTTTTTGTGTTCTTTTTTTAATGACAAAGAGTTTGCATAGCCATTCTATCCTGCTAAACTGAAATTTATGGGAAGGTAATATACTTTGCATTCTCTTTAGATGAGAATCTTCTCTCTTCAAGAATGCAAATTTATTAAAATCCAGCAGTATACAGGAGGTACTGGAATGAATGGGCCAATTATATAAAAAAAAGAACATCTCCTCTAGACACTGATGTGAGTAAACATTTTCCTTTTGTGTGTACCCAATGTTATCTTGTACAAGTATCACCTCCCACATGGCTTGTCTGAAGGACCTTCCCATGCAGTACACACAGGAAACCAAATTATAAACCATGGAAACAATGAGTGGTGGTTTAAACTTCAGTGGAAGGAGACATAAACCCACATCCAGGAAAGCTACATGAGTGAAAAGTTGGCTGAGAAGATCATTTCTGCAGTCTTTGAAAAATGCTCCACTAAAGTACATCAGTATCTCAAACAAGCTATGTAATTCATATTTACTTCATTACTTAACTCACATCTAGGTTACTGAAAATATGATACTTGGGCTGATAGAAGTTACATATCCAAACACCTACTGGGTGAAGGAAGTTGCAGAACAAGCAAATGGGATCAGACAGCTGGACAGACCCTTAATCAGAACCTGGATACAGTGACGGGATCAAAACAACCCACGTAGCAATGAGAGGCCAAATTGGAAAGTCTGTTCAGAAAAGTTCAGGGCTCCCAAGTGCTGAGTGTACTCACATTCAGTTTTTACACAACTTTTCAGTAACGTATTCATCATACAATCAAGGTATACATATTTGGTTTTTTTTCTCACCCCCAAGATTATTTGTTGAAAGTGATTACCCTGGAATACGAATATACAAAATACACCACATGTGTAAGTGCACATGTATACTTAATTATGTGTAAGTAAGTGATCTACTCAGTTACGCCAAAGCATACAACAGTGATCAGAACACTGTAGCCCAGTGCTTGATAATGTCCTTTATATTTGCTTAGCACTTTAGAATTTATGTATATACTCCTGCTAACTTCTTATAAGGGGCCCATAGGCTGTCATTAGTATCACCAATTTAAAAATAGAGCAACCAAAGCTAAGAGGCTAAATGGTGTCACCTGACATGAAGATGGGCAGCTCTGCACTGGGTAGATGACGCTCTGGCGTCACAAAGACCTGGGTTTGAGTCCCGCTTTTGCTACTTCCTAGTTTTGTGTCCTTGAAAAATTTATTTAAAATTCAAGACATTGGAACATGACTGGGAGAGGAAAAATGGATACTTGCCTTATAGGTTGTTAGGAGGAAAATTCATTCATTCAAAGGATATCTACTGAGCCCCTTCTCTGGGCCAGACACTAGCCTATTTGTATATGGAGTGACTCAAATAAATATGATCCAGTGAGATAATACGTATATTGTACTTAGCAGAGTTCCTTATGCATGACCTCTTAGTAAGTGGTATTTGTTTGGTGTTGCTATTCTATTACTATTACTGTTACCATTATTATTAAAATAGTGGATGTGCCTTGAAAGACTAGATGAAAAAACCCACTGCAGATGATGAGGCCCCCAGCCCCTCCCTTAATTCCAAGCATCCTTTCCCACCCAGCACGTCCTCATGACAGGGCCAGAGGGCTGGCGTATGCAGCCTCAGGAGTGCCGCCCAGGGCTCAGCAGCCCACGCATGCTTTCGCCTCTCCGCTCTCTGCCGAGGCAGTGTTTCCTCACCACTGTTCCCAGCGTGTACCGATCCATGCTGCCCTGCCCGTGAGGGCACAGCCTTGAGCGCACAGTGGTCTTGTGAATCCTGCTCGCTTAGTGCCCCAGGAGTAGTCCAGAGTCCAGCAGGGGTGCCTGGCAGGATGGGAAAGCCCGTGTGATAAGTCCTCAGAAGGACCTCTGGCATCCCCTCCCGTTACCCCTCATCCCTTCCTCTCCAACCACACCACTTCCGTGTTCTTCCTGGAACACACCAGGCACCCTCCTGCCCCCCTGAAGCCATTCCACTTGCTCTCCTTTCCTTCACAAATGCTTTTTCTCCAGACAGGCACACAGCACACTTTTTTACCTCCTCTAGGTCTGTGCGTACATGTGATCATCTCTGAAGAGGCCCTTCCTGACCGCACTGTTCAAACTAGTAACAGCTGCACCCCAGCACTCCTCAGGCGCCCCTTCTGCATTATTTTCCTCCATTTACCCTAAACACTTTCTGAACATATCTGCAGCCTGTCACTCTTCAGTTCAGAACATGATC